GAGAAGACAGAGAAGACATAAAATGCTATATGGGTATGTTATGTTATATGTTATGTTATGTTATGTTATTTTATTTTATTTTATTTTGGTTTGGTTTTGGTTTAGGGCAACAATTAGTCGCATCCAAAATAAAAGTTTTATGTACATAATATGTGTGTGTGTACTGTGTATATTTATTATGTATATATAAATACACACACATGCATGTATATTTAAGAAAAATATGTTATGCTTGTATCAATTATATGAATATAAATACATGTAAATATTTTCAAAATATATACTGTATGTGTGTGTCTTTATACTGTATATACATAATAAATACACACAGTACACACACATATATATATATTATATAAACAAAAACTTCTATTATTTAATTTTATAATTTATTAGACATTTTTAATAACCATTTTATTTTCAATTTACATTGTTTTTTTTTATTAACTTGTACTATAATTTATTAAGAATCGCCAAGCTACCAAACTACAATTGAAACATTGTATCACCGCCCAGAGTAATAATTCTCAGATCTTTGAATGTACCATGCCAACCTCCTGTTTTATTATAAACTAATTTATTTCCTCCATGTTTTCCTTCTCCTTTTGTGCATCATTCACCATTTCCATACTTGTGCTTTCTTTGCATTTGGGCCCTTTTCTCAATCCCCCACACACTGGCTTGTTCTCTGGCTTTCCCCGAAGGTTTGCCCGGCGACTGAATAAGATGGTGCGGTTATTGGTGCCAGACTGCGATGTGCGTTTCCTTCGCTCGGAGGACGGCAGCGGTAAAGGGGCAGCGATGGTCACTGCTGTGGCGTACCGATTGGCGAAGCAGCATGCAGAGCGCCAGCGTATCCTCGACAGCCTCCGCCTCGATCGAGATCAGCTGCTGGAGGTGAAGAGAAGGATGGAGGAGGAGATGAAGCGAGGCTTGGCTGAAAAAGCACACACCACGGCTGCTGTCAAAATGCTGCCCACCTTTGTGCGCGCCACGCCGGATGGAACAGGTCAGAATTGAATTAGATTTTATTGCCATTTGCACAGGTACATTGTAGTACAGTTACATTGGATTTCTTATGTGTTTCGCAGAGTCAAGCTTTATAGGGGGGGGGGTAAAAAAAAAAATTTTTTAAATTAAATAAATAATATTGCACATTGTGGTAGTGTTTCACATTTAAGGGAATAATAGGAGAGACAAATATCTGTCCATGGGTCCATAGACAGGCGAGATAGAAAGTACTAGTCCTCCAAAGTAAGAGAGAGTTATGGGACAGAGTGAGAAACACAGGGTTTTCACTTATTTTAGTTGACCCAAAAAGAAAATTGTCTTATGTTTTATTCTCCCTCATCTTCCAAAACAGTGTTTTTTTTGTTTTTGTGAAAGTAGAATTGTTTCTGCCTTTTCCCTCATGTTGCTGTTTTCCATGGAAACAGTTCATAATGAGCATGAAAGCACCATTATTGTGCTGCAAAACATCACTGCCTGTTTAGCCCCGCCCACTGATTCTACATCGCTCCCTGTTTAGCCCTGCCCACTGATTCTACATCGCTCCCTGTTTAGCCCCGCCCACTGATTCTACATCGATTCTACATTGCTGCCTGTTTAGTCCCGCCCACAGATTCTACATCGCTGCCTATTTGGCCCCGCCCACAGATTCTACATCGTTGCCTGTTTAGCCCCGCCCACAGATTCTACATCGCTGCCTGTTTAGCCCCGCCCACAGATTCTACATCACTGCCTGTTTAGCCCCGCCCACAGATTCTTGCATGTAGTATTTATGAGAGAGGCGAACTTTCTTTCTTTCTTTCTGTACTAGCTGTGGTGGATTTGATGCATCAGTTTTTTTCGATCCTCTTTGAAACCCATTGACAGGTGTTGCCACTATGAAATGTTGTATGAAAACAGCTGCAAAAATTTATGCTTGCATGCTTCGTGGAAAAAAATAACAGTAACAGCTTTGAAGATCAGATCACAAATGGGGATGAATTGCATGCATAATAAAATGTCATTTCATCTTGGCCAAAAAATCAAGGAAGATCTTGAGGGAAGTGTTTGAATATAAATTGCAGTGCATAATGCATCATATCTTGATTCAAGCTTGCTTAGAATGATGACAATTTCTGAGAATGTTTTCCATGCATAATTTTTTTTGTAGGCAGAGACAAAACATACGAAACATCGAGTATATATTACGTACTGTATGTGTGTGCATGCATGTATGTATGTATGTGTGTGTGTGTATATCTTATCATACATACATACATACATACATACATACATACATATATACATACATACATACATACATACATACATACATACACACACAGTATATACTTGCTGTTTTGTGTGTGTGTATGTTTTCAACATTGATAATAGTAAGAAATTAAGGATCTGAATGAACATTTCTGATCATAAGACATTGAAGATGCTGCTAAAAATTAAGATTTGCCATCACAGGAATAAATTCAATTTGAAAACATATTTAAATGTTTTGTATTTTTATCCAATACATGCAGTCTTGAAGAGCATAACTTGTGTCTTATTCTTATTTTACATTAAAAGTTTATTTTCTTTATATTTTTTTTTATTCTAAAACTTTATTTCCATGTTTACATACAAATTCTGTTTTACAAATTCTGGTCTCAGACTTTTGAAGCCCCTTGTCAGTTCACTGATACAGCTAAAACACAAGAGAGATGGAGAATTAAAAGAAGAATTGTGACTGATCTAAATATACTGTAGGGCCAAAACTCTATTGACCAATGTAGGGCAAAAAAAAAGAGATAAACTGGAATTTATGTAATACCCTCACTGGTATGAGAGACCAATCAATAACCCCTCCATACCAGACCGGTGCAAATCAGTCCAGAGAGTTGATTTGTGTGTGTGTGGGATTGTATGTGTCTGAATGAGAGAGTGTGTGTGAGTGTCTGTATGTGTCTGAATGTGAGTGTGTGTGTGAGTGAGTGTGTGTGTGTGAGTGTGTGTGTCTGTATGTGTCTGAGAGAGTGTGTGAGTGTGTCTGAATGAGAGAGTGTGTGTGAGTGTCTGTGTCTCAATGAGAGAGTGTGTGTGTGTGTGTGTGAGTGTGTGTGTGTCTGAATGAGAGAGTGTGTGTGTGAGTGAGTGTGTGTGAGTGTGTCTGTATGTGTCTGAATGAGAGAGTGTGTATGAGTGTCTGTATGTGTCTGAATGAGAGAGTGTGTGTGAGTGTCTGTATGTGTGTGTGTGAGTGAGTGTGTGTGAGTGTGTCTGTATGTGTGTGAGTGAGAGAGCGTGTGTGAGTGTCTGTATGTGTCTGAATGAGAGCGAGAGTGTGAGAGTGAGTGAGTGTGTGTGTGTGTGTGTCTGAATGAGAGAGTGAGTGTGTGTGTGTGAGTGTGTGTGTGTGTCTGAATGAGAGCGTGTGCGTATGTGTGAAAGAGGGAGAGATAGTTGTTACAGTCTCTGAATCTATTGTGAATGTTCTGCAGAGCGTGGCGACTTCTTGGCACTGGATCTGGGCGGCACAAACTTCAGGGTGCTCTTGGTGCGTGTTCGAAGTGGGAAAAGACGGAGCGTTGAGATGCATAATAAGATCTACACCATCCCTCAAGACATTACCCAGGGCACCGGCGAGGAGGTACGCCCTCGAATCACACTTCATTAACATCCATTCAAGATGTGAACTGGGCTCATGGTGGATTCCATGGGCAAAGTGCTACAGTGTTGCTCTGGCCATACAATAACAATTAAGCAAACAAAACAAATAAGAACATACATTAAAATACAACAGTGTAGAAACATAAAATGCATGATATGTAAAGTGCAAAACACAGTAAAGTGCTATAGGTGCGTTGTTCTTGGTAAAATTCAGCAGTTATGTATTATATATATGATGGCAGTGTGTGTCTTGGATTGCAGGATAAGCGCACTAGAGGTACTATGTGACCTCTTAAATAAAGCTGTCCTTGTTTTTGAACATGGAGTGCACAAACCTGTTTGCAATTTATTTGGAAGTGGTCAATGCACAGCACTCAGGCGGTACGCTCCAGCTTCCAGCTGCATGCATACACTGTTAAAAATAAAGGTTCTTTATTGGCATCAATGGTTCTTGAACATCCATTGAACCTTTCAAATGCAGAAAAGGTTCTTTATAGTCGAAAAAGGTTAGGTTTTTAAAATGTTCTTTAAAATGGTTCTTTTAGGAACTGTTCTCTGAAAGGTTCTTTTGGGAACCAAAAATGGTTCTTCTATGGCATCACTGCGAAAACACCCTTTTGGAGCCTTTATTTTTATGAGTGTAGTGGTGTATTTATTGTAGGGTGGAACTGAACATCCAGACACTTGTTGCAGCGTAACCTGTTCTCTTGTACTCTTTTGGTTTCCAGTGATAATGCTGTTGAGCTCATTTTGATAAGTACATATGCATGAATGATCCTTTGTCTTCACGTGTGTGTCTGTGTGTGTCTGTGTGTGTGTGTGTGTGTGTCTGTGTGTGTCTGTGTGTCTGTGTGTGTCTGTGTGTCTGTGTGTGTGTGTGTGTGTGAATGGTCCTCTGCAGTTATTTGATCACATAGTGCACTGCATTGCTGACTTCCTGGAGTATATGGGTATGAAGGGAGCATCGCTGCCTCTGGGATTCACCTTCTCGTTTCCCTGCCATCAGACCCGACTGGATCAGGTAATACTCAAATAGGCATCTCTGCTTATTCCGCTCAATGAGGACAAACTATAGACTTGTTTTGTTTTCAAATATAGGTAAAAATAAAACTTTTGGTGACAGTGGCACTGGAAAGTTTTTCCACAATTAGGGTACAAAATGGGACTTAAACTCCTAAAAATTTTGAACAAAAAATTATAAAAGAAAAAAAATTAAAAAGAAAAAGTTCAATTGAAATGCAATTATTTTTTTCTTTTCAATGTTATATTATGTATCAAATGTATCCTCTGTCTATCATTAATAATAATAATAATAATAATGATTATATAGATGGATGGATAGATATACAATTTTGACATTTGTGTAATTTGTCAAAGATTGGATTGCAGAAAGTCATGTCAAAATCATTATTTAAGGCTAGTTTTAAACTAGCTAATTTCCATGCTTTTGACTTATTTTAGTAAACCCAAAATGAAAATTCTATCATCATTTATTCACCTTCGTGTTTCAACACCCTCATGTCTTTTTTGAAAGTAGAAATTTTTTCTACCTTTTCCCTCATGTTGCACTTTTCGATAGAACAACAGTTTATAATGAGTACGAAAGCAACATAATTGTGCTCCAAATGACTCATACACTATATTTCATGTAATGAAGTAGTTTATCTAGCAGTTTTCTCTCTAAAGAACATGGGGTTCCCCATACCTTTTTTTGCTTTAAAAAATGTAAAGGGACATCAGTTTGTACCCTGTTTATATAAAGTGGCACAGATATTATTTAATATATTAAAGTATAATATATTTAATATATTAAATAATATATTAATATTAATTCCCTTGAGCATATAATGTATAAAACTCATTTATATATTATAGAGTTGTTTGGGGTGGGGATAAATTAAACGCAATCTGCGATGACGTCACAATCGTGTTGCATTGTGGTCTATGAAGCGGCCTGAAGTGTGCATACGAAGCAGACTCGCTCCCTCGGTCAAAATCGAGGGGTCGAGTGTCTGTCCATATAAACTTCCCTCGTCCACTTCACGAAGTGGAGCGCACTTCAAAATAGCAACGGGGATTCCCCCGAGGGGAAGTGCTAAGGGAAGTTCACCAGTGCGTGTCTAAAACTAGAGTGGAATGCAGCCACTGCCTGTTTAGCCCCACCCACTGATTCTACATCACTGCCTGTTTAGCCCCGCCCACCTAATCTACATCGCTGCCTGTTTAGCCCCGCCCACCGATTCTACATCGCTGCCTGTTTAGCCCCGCCTACTGATTCTACATCACTGGCTGTTTAGCCCCACCCACCGAATGTACAGCACTGTCTGTTTAGCCCCACCCACTGATTCTACATCGCTGCCTGTTTAGCCCCGCCTACTGAATCTACAGCACTTGTCAGGTTTAGCAAATGTTTAGCAAATGTCTGGGTGGTGTTTTTCTGAAATACTACAAAAAAAAAAAAACCTCTCTCAGACACTGAAACATTTATCTACGTTTTTGTCCTGAGTCTGCTATATTCCCATCTGTCTTCCTCACAGGGAATCTTGATAAAGTGGACAAAGGGCTTCAAGGCCTCGGGGTGTGAGGGAGAAGATGTGGCCACGCTACTGAAAGACGCCATCCATCGCAGTGAGGTCAGCACCGCCGCACACTCAAGTGCTGCCAAAGCAGTTCATGCACTTGTTACTGTAGATGCAATTACTCTGCCTTTAACGGCAAGATGCAATTAGTGGATGTTCAGTCAGACAAATCTTGTCCTGAAAGGCAGTCATGGTGGATTAGCTTTGCCTTTCTGGTAATGCATCTCTATCTCTCTGTCTGCTTTTGTTTCCTCACAGGAGTTTGAACTGGATGTGGTAGCAGTGGTGAATGACACCGTGGGCACCATGATGACTTGTGGGTACGAGGATCCTCAATGTGAAGTTGGGCTTATTGTCGGTGGGTGTGATTGCTCGGCCTGGTTTTTCTAGATGACTTTTAGGGTGCATAAGATTTAGTGATTATCTAGTTGCCTCAATATGCATTTGAACACCCAAGTCTTAATTTAAATGTGCATTCCCAAAAGGGGTTTGTAAGTTGATGAAAAGCAGATAATTAAATTGAATGCAAAATTAAAATAAATAAATGTGGCTGCACCGTTAATTGAAATACAAGTGAATTTGCAATATAGCTTAGTGTGGTAATCCAATCAAACATTGCAATTTAATTAAAAAACTATATAGTCTATTGTGCAGTGAGTTTAACATGCATCTTTGGTTCTCTTTATTTACACAATTTCCATGTTTCTGTGGATATAAAATTTGACAGTGTTTCACCAGTATTCCTACAAAATGAAAGCTTGAGAATTTGAACGTTTGAAGGCAAAATATTCAAGACTAAAATCAGTATTGTAACTCGCAGTGTAAAATAAAATAATTGTTAGGCATACAATTGTCTTTTTTTAGACAATTTACAACAACAATATATTTATATCTTCATTTTTATAATTAGAGTTTCAACAATAATAATACAAATTAATAATAAATAACAAATGTAATAATGTAATAATAATAGTAGTAGTAGTAGTAGTAGTAATGATGATAATAATAATAAGCCTTTTATATAAATCATTTTAAAATGAAATCAAAATAAGGCACTTACCAAAAAAAAAAAAAGATTTAGTATTTTATCTTTTTATTTGCATGTGATGTGACCATTAACCAACATCATGAACCATAACTACTGTATGATCACAGAAATGTGATGTTATTGAAATTGTTATTAATGAAATATTAACTTCAGGGGATACTTCAAGTAAATATTTGACATCTAAGAGGTACAGCTGACAAAGAAGTTTGGGAACCCCGACATTAGCCAATAAAATATAAAAAGGAAATGGAATACAAATTATGCATTTTAAGCCAACTTCAATTTTTTCGAGACATTTTTGCATTTACAGTAGCTTTAGGCAACTGGTGTCTTGATTTGGTGATTTGGTGAGGATGCATGAAGTCGATTAATCCCAAATTCACACTGGTTTGCTTACCACAAAGTGTTTTTTATATTCATTTTCTATTGTTTTTATCACGCAAAGCATAACACAATTCTTTTTGTGATGTATTTGGATTCAGACATGTGCTTCTGCCGTCTTCCATCAGATTAAATGCCTCTTGCTTTGATATTTTATATCATGGTGTTTTATATTTTTAAAGGGTTAGTTCACCCAAAAATGAAAATTAGCCTATAAATTACTCACCCTCAAGTCATCCTAGGTGTATATGACTTTCTTCTTTCAGACGAATCTAGTCGGAGTTATATAAAAAATAGTCTTTGATCTTTCAAGCTGTTTAATGGCACTCAGCGGGTGTTGCATGCTTCAGTCCAAAAGAAGTTAAATAAAAAGCGCCCATCCATAAAAAAAAATGTCTCACACGGCTCCGGGGGGTGAACAAAGGCCTTCTGTAGCGAACCGATGCGTTTTTGTAAGAAAAATATCCATATTCAAAACGTAATAGTCACTTTAATGTAGCTTGCGCTCACAGTTGTACACAGAAGCAGCTCCGGGCGGATGACGTATGAGGTCAGCGCTGCGCATGCGCCGGTGCGTCTCGTGAAAACCAACGTTTGTTTACAGGAGCAAAGGAAGCAAAGTTTCCTTACTTTAGCAAAGGAAAACCAGTCTCCTCTTGGCTTATATCGAAATCCTCCGACATTCTTCTTTACAAATCCTCGTTTTGTACTTCTAATTAGTGACCGTTGTTTTGTTTTGATCTCTCCGCTGCGCTTCCGTGTTCATCACTTCTGAGCGGCGCATGCTCAACACCGACCTCATACGTCATCTGCCCGGAGCTGCTTCCGTGTACAACAGTGAGCGCAAGCTAGATTAAAGTGATTTGGGCTAATTTTCATTTTTGGGTGAACTAACCCTTTAAGTTTAGTGTTGATATCTTAGATCATTTTTGGAGACACCGTACATGTTTGTGCACAGCATCATTTATGAGTGAGAGTGTATTTGTGAACGTTTCTGTCTTCCTGCAGGCACAGGAACTAATGCATGCTACATGGAGGAGATGTCAAACGTTGAGCTGGTGGATGGGGATGAAGGTCGTATGTGTGTGAACATGGAGTGGGGAGCGTTTGGGGACCGCGGGGAGCTGGATGACGTTTGCACGGAGTTTGATCGAGCCGTGGATGACCAGTCCACTTACCCTGGGAAACAGCGGTGAGAGTTCAGATCTGGATTCTTTAGGGGAGCCTGGGTTAGTTGTAACACACATGGTTTGAATATTTCCACACATGCTAGCATAACAAAATTTGCAGTATTCATTAGTTACCATATCAACATTATATATAAAAAAAAAGTGCGCCAAAATTCGAAAATCTTTTGAAGATATCGCTGAACATTTATTTTACCATAGTAAAATTAAAATTCTGGCTTAAGTAAATTTTTCATCTCAGTTTGATCAGTTTAGATCGTTTTTAATGCTTTGATAACTAGCAGAAGACACTAACCAGTTTTAAACTCCAGTTGCGCAGATGGGACACGATGTAACACTGTGTTACAATGTGCTATTCTATTACATTAGCCATGTAATTTACACTATTTACTTTAATGAATTTTAATGAGAAACAGGTGAATAAAGACTGGCAGTCAATGTTTAATGTTTAGAAATTATTATTTCAAGACATGTAAAGCATTTTTGCACGTTTATGTGGGCCATTCCAAGCATGATTGCAATGTGTTCATTGTCAAACTCCAAAATCAGATTATTTTTAATTCTTAAAAACGCCATTATTTTATTTGAAAAAAATAATGATTTTATTTTATTAACAAAATATTTTAGTTTGTCTTGTATATTTTTTTCATTCGATCAGATAACATTTTAAGCTGTCATACTGTCATGTTACAACGTGGCCCTCAGATGTTACAATGTACCACACCTACGGGGCATGTTGTCACATTTCACTTCCAATTTTTGAGGGTAAATAAAGAAAAACGTATACACTGTAATCATGAAACAAAGCGACATATTTGTACTAGACAAGTGCACAATTACTGTGGATAAAAAAAAATTGGATTTACACAAACTGAGAAAGTCAAAAAGTGTTACTTTGTGCTATTACTTATTTATAGATGACTCAATAAAAATACATTATGGATATGCTTGCAGAATTTAAACCCAATGCACCTCTTAGATCATTGGATTTAAGTCAGCTTAGTGCAATGCCTATGGTTCGTTTCAGATGTGATGAAACCGCGTTTAGCTGCTAAGCTGGAAACTACTTCAAGAAGATCTCAGATGTGTCCCAAAACTAGCAGATTCAAGACCAAACTGAGAACCCATTTTTACATCTGGGTTCTCCGTCATAGAAGTAGTTTACTGACATTTGAAACATGTATGATTTTCTTTTTTTCACAGAATGGAAAAGGAAATGTTTTATAGTATTTTCAAGATGCTTATTTCCTTGCAATAATTATGAGGGGAAAACAAACAAACAGACAAAATCTCTGAAAATCTCCCCATTACCCTCAAACCTAATTCACACTTGTGCACTTTAAACTCAAAGGTGAATGAGAAATGAGAATGGCAAGATTTTCAGCTAATTCCTGGTGTATCTTCCAGTGGGTTTACTTGCATATGACTTTAAGCATTTGTAATTTTGAAGACCCCCTTTTTTTTAAAGATTGTATTATTATTTTTTAATTAATTACAATTAAATGAACACAGTATTAAAAATAATGCATTTAAATTAAAATTTATTTATTTTAATAAAAAAAATTAAATACCATTAAAATATTTATTTATTAAAAATACCATTCAAATATTTATTTATTTGACTATTTTATAGTAAAAAAAACCTTTTGCTTTTTTTTTTTTTTTTTTTTAACTTTTAAAAAAAAACGTTTTGGCTTTTTTGGAGCTTTATAAACAGCAGTGGAGATGAACATTTTTCTATTTGCGTTCGAATGGAGAAAGGAAATCATGCCACTTTTTACAACATAAATATGCGTACATTTAGTATGTTTTTTATATACATTTTATGGGTACACTACTGTTCAAAAATGTATGCTCTGTTAGATTTTATGTTACTGAATGAAGTGTCTTATGCTTACCAAGATTCATAAAAATACAGTAAGAACAGTGACATTACAGTTTAAAATAACTTTATGATGACATACCTAAATGTAATTTTTATATACAATGTTTTTATTTATTTATTTTTATCACAGAAGATCACATTTTATTAGTTCCTGCAAAAAAACATGTTAAATCCAAAGGTTCATGTATTTTTCCTGCAACTATATACTTTTCAGCTATTTTCAGCATAATTTTTGTATTACATTTTTTTTTGTACATGACCTCTAGATCTTTATACTAAATTAGATTAGCAAGCGATGGCTGTACATATCCGGTCCACATAGAATTGTAACGTACTGCACAAGATACAAGATGAAGCACAATACAAGGCAGTGAAAGTACTTCACTGTAATCACCTCAAAAATAAACACACCTACAGTAAAACACGAATTAATTTCTGTTAATGCCATTGTTGATGCAGCTTAACTTGTAACGAACATGGAACATTACTATAAGGTGCACCACAGTGACCAAAAAGCAAAGTAAAAAAATAAAAAATCCATAATCTGTGTGAAAGAAGAAACAGCATGTTGAAATAAAAAAGTTAATTAAAAAAGCTCTTCTCCCTAATCTTTTCTGTGCAATGTTATAATCCAAAAGTCCCACTTCAACGTTTGCGAAAATATGCATTATTGAGGAACGATGAATAATTTCCTTGTTTCTTTCTGTGATTTTCAGATATGAGAAGATGATCAGCGGGATGTATCTCGGAGAGATCGTCAGAAACGTGCTCTTGGACTTCACTGCCAAAGGCCTGCTTTTCCGTGGCAAACTTTCAGAGAGACTGAAAACACGCGGTATCTTCGAAACCAAGTTCCTGTCGCAGATCGAGAGGTGTGTGTGTGTGTGTGAGTGTGTGAGTGTGTGTATGAGAGAGTGTGTGTGCGTGGTGTGTGTGTTGAGTGTGTCTGTGTGTGTGTGTGAGTGTGTGAGAGAGAGTCTTGTGTGTGTGTGTGTGTGTGTGTGTGAGAGAGTGTGTCTGTGTCTTTCAGCCTTCAGATGATATTGAAATGCTAAGCACACTGATTATCATTATTTGATACGCCTAAGGCATCTTGGCACGTATAATTAGATTTGTGGTGTTTTCTATTGTTCAGTCCTAAAGGTAATATTCCAGCTGAGGTCCACCTGCAAATTTTGGCTTGATTTGTCATGTTTTTGGCATGCTTATACTCCATCTTTGGGGAAAAAATGCAGCCATAATGTTTTTTTAAACCTTGGTTTAATGAAACTTCTTGTCTTGTATTTGTTCTGTGATTACTGATTATTAATGGGCTGTGTCTCGCAGCGATCGTTTGGCGCTGAGGCAGGTGCGCTCCATCCTGCAGCACCTGGGTTTGACCAGCAGCACGTGTGATGACAGTATTCTCGTGAAGGAGGTTTGCAGTGTGGTGTCCAAACGTGCGGCCCAGCTGTGTGGAGCCGGTCTGGCGGCCGTGGTGGACAAGATACGACTGAACCGCGACCTTGAGAAGCTCAGCATCACTGTTGGAGTGGACGGCACGCTCTACAAACTCCACCCGCAGTGAGTGGCCTAGATAAGAGCCAAAACCAGACTGTGAATCTTATGGAAGAAAAATAATGACAAATGTCTCTGAAACAAAACAGCATGTTGAATTGCACTGAAAATAATGCATTGCATTAACAGTGCAATGTATTTTCAGGGCTTGCATTTTTAGGGGCTGGAATTCAGCAAAGTTGTATGTCTAAAAGCATACGTTCCATTGAATGATAAATGACTTTTAACTTAATATCGTTAAAGCGTATGCACGAAGGAAACTTAAAATAACCAGCGCATTAACAGCAACCTTGAAATAAGAGTGCGAGGTTTATCTGTCAATCAGATGCATGAACGGTGCGTTCGTTATTATAGCAAACAAACATCGGGCGTGTTTTCTTTCAGAATCATCATTCGCCGATAGAAAGGAAAAGTTAAATACTGTAGCTTTTTATTTGAGGAAAATAAGATAAAGAAGCTCACATCATGCAAAGGTGTGACATAAAATGTGCTACACAATAGTTAACACGAAATAATACTTTTAAAGCCTCTTTTTCAATCTTGGCTTGCATACTCTAGTGAAAAATAAATATACTAAAATGTATTTGAAATGCATTTATTTCATGCTACGTATACTACAAATACATTTACATATTTAAGTGCTTAATAAAAATACCCTGCAATTGTACTTTTGGTATATTAAACTGGTATACTTAAAGTCTGCTCAATTGGAACGACTAATTTTGTACTTAATGCACTTTAATTGTGCTGAAGTAGTGTTGAATTCCAACTAAAGATATACTGAAGTTTATTTGTTTGAGCTAAAGTGGAACTGTTGCAAGTATAGGCTACTTCAGGTGCACTATCACAATATGTTGCATTTAAAGACCGATATTACTCAAAGATCATCCTCATCAAAAGTGACATTAAAACACATTTTAAGTTTAATATTAAGAAATGTGCATTGTGCACAAGCAGTACTCCAAATAAAGTTCAATTATATTTTCTATATCAGTAAGTATCGAGCGATAGATTTGAACTCTACTTAGTTTGAAATGAATGCATTTAAAAAATATTACTTTTTACTAGAGTAAACTTTATGCCATAAGTAATGCCATAGCATCATTAAACTAACATCTAACAACTGACAAAAGTGTTTTTTGTTTAGTTTTTTTTGTGCTCACTCTCCGACTCCATAAAGGCTGCTGTGTAATTTGTCCTCTGACTAAGCATATACAAATTTAGGGGAAGCATTTTAGTAATCCTGTGATTGCACTTAAAGAATGCAGAATCGAATTGTTAATAGAATCGCATCGAATTTAACTGTGAATCGTCTCGATCGAATCGAATCGCTCTGAATTTGCAAAAATCCTTCTTAAATCGAATCGAAACCCTATGAATCGTGAATCGAATCGATTCGCTCGAATCGAATCGTGAATCAAATCGATTCGCTCGAATTGAATCGTGAATCGAATCGATTCGCCCTAATATTTAAGCTGTTAATATTTCACCTCAAAACATTTCACACACATTTTCATAATTAAAAATTCAATAATCCATATTCACCTTCCAGAGTTACCTTCCGATCTTTTTCTACAAATTCCCGGATGTGCAATGCTGAATTTTTTTTTTTCTGCAGAATTTGAACCACTGAATTTGTGGAAGCGAATTTGTAAAGTAAATAAAATGGGCCAAAAATGACCCGTCGAACACTATACATCATATTTTTAAACAGATTGAATATTTCGGAAGTGAACTCTGGAGGGTGAATATGGGTTATTGAATTTTTAATCATGAAAATGTGTGAAATGTTTTGAATTGAAATATTCACAGCTTACAATTAAAGATAAAATACTAGTGCACAATTATAGCTTCAATTTAGATGTTTTCTACAAACTCCAATTTTCGTTTTAATGGAAAAAAGTCAAACTACTGTTCAGATGTTAGGGGTCTACATTCTTTTTCTAAAGAAAATTAATACTTTAATTTAGCAAGGACACGTTAAATTGACGTGAATTTAAAGACATTTTATAAGGTTACAGAAGATTTCTTTTTTTTAAATAAATGCTGTTCTTTTGAACTTTTTGAAATCCTGAAAAAAATCCCTGTTTCCATTTTATTTAATTGGTATTTTTTCAGCAGCTAAATCAGCATATTAGAATGATTTCTGAAGATCATGTGACACTGAAGACTGGAGGAATGATGCTGAAAATACAGCTTTGATCACAGGAATAAATTACAGTTTAACAGATATTAAAATAGAAAACTGCTATTTTAAATCTTAATATTTTTTCACAGTATTACTGTTTTTCACTGTTTGTTTATAAAGTACATTCAGCCTTAGTGAGCATAAGAGACTTCTTTCAGAAACATTTAAACAAATCTTACAAAACCCCAAAGTTTTGAAAAGTTGAAAGTGTTACTTACTCAGAAAAAATCTGTCAGATGAAGCGAAATGACATGTTTTTTAAGGATGACTAACCAAAGCCAGCGTTTGTTTTGGACTCTGATACTTCATTTAGGTGCAATAGCGTTTTTCCATATACAGTGTTGTTAAGACTGATTGATAGACTTCCTTGTGCAACTTTATTTTTATTTTTTCAGTTTATCTTAGAATTTGATTAAAGTGTCAGTGAATGTATACTGTCAAGCTTTCAATCAAACGAGCCTTAAAAATCAGCCTAAAGCTCTCTGGAGGAACATGTTGTGCTTTAAACATTGTTTTCAAAAGCCCCTGCCAACCTTACTGAGAGTCACTTCTGAAAAGAGTGCTTTTATGAATCAAAAACGACGGAAGCCGTTTTATACTGAGAAAACAGCACTGAATATTTACCATGCAAAGGCTCATAGTGGGACTTTTTTCCTTCAGCGACCCGCTTTGAGAAAAAAAAAAAGCACTTCTATTCTCATTTAGGCTGTAGATTAAAGTGAGTTTGAGATGAGTTTCGATTTTCACTTTAGCAAAAGGAAGCCAAGTGTATATCCGGATTTGGTCGTTTTAGCTTTATTCACACTTGCTTTTAGTGTGTCGAAAAAATAACAAATGAAAGACTATTGGCTGTTAAAAAGGGACAAGCTGTTTGGTATATTCTGTCTCTTTCAATAGGAAATAAATCAACATGAAGAAGAAAAAAAAAAAACACGTCAGGCTATTTGATTGAGTTCTGTCTTGTTATTATTACCTAAAACTAAAGCTGTATTTTTTTTTAATCGAAAAAGCTGAATATTAAATGAAAAATGTAACTAAAATTAAAATGTTGTGCTTAAAAAGCACATTAAAGCATATCAAGCAAAGGTCAAAAACTGAAACTAAAATGAAAACTGAAAATATAACACTTAAAGCAAATGTAAAATATTAATAAATGATCTAATAGTACATAAATAATACTAAAGTGACACTGATAGAGAGTTTTGAAAAGTGTAGATTTATTAATGTGCCATGTTTGGTGCGAAAAACGCCATAAATGTGACCCTGGAGCACAAAACAAGTCATAAGGGTCAATTTTTCAAAATTGAGATTTATGCATCATCTGAAAGCTGAATAAATAAGCTTAACATTGATGTATGGTTTGTTAGGATCGGACAATATTTGAAAATCTGGAATCTGAGGGTGCAAAAAAATCTAAACATTGAGAAAATCATTTTTGAAGTTGTCCAAATGAAGTTCTTAGCAATGCATATTACTAATCAAACATTAAGTTTTGATATATTTATGGTAGGACATTTACAAAATATCTTCATGGAACATGATCTTTACTTAATATCCTAATGATTTTTGGCATAAAAGAAAAATGTATAATTTTGACCCATACAATGTATTGTTGGCTATTGCTACAAATATACCCCAGCGACTTAACACTGCTTTTGTGCTCCAGAGCAGATTTTGCTCGTACTCTGAAGTCCTGTTGTTCATCCATGCCTGCTCTCCTCTTTGTCTCATCAGCTTTGCCAGCATCATGCGGGAAACCTTAAGAGACCTGGCCCCCGACTGTGAGGTTACTCTCGTCCAATCAGAAGATGGCAGCGGAAAAGGTGCCGCCCTCATCACGGCCGTGGCTTGTCGATTAAGAGACGCTAGAAAGTAGAGACTGAACAAAATAACGTAAAGGGGAAAAGATAACGAGGGAGAAATTACACACCGAGCTTCCAGAGATGTGACCTTACTGAAACAACACTCCTGTCTGTAAAAGAATGTATCTTATTTATTTTTGTTGCATTTTGTGCTGTAGGTCATGCATTGCAAGGACTTGGCATATGCTGATGGGGGGTTGTTTGTAGAAAAGGGGGAAAAAATTCATAACCATTATGTGTATTGTTACTGATTTGAATTACTGTACTGTCTGAGGATGACAGCTGTGGTTAAACGCGATAAAACGAGCGGACTGGACAGAAACGATCGTCAAAAATGCTTGCGTTTGCAGCGCACACTTCTTATCAGAAAAGCTTTAATAAAGTATTGTCTTTTGTTGTTATGGGCGCGTGTACATATTTCTTGCCATATGTCTATGTTTCTTGCATCTCACGTCTATGTCGTGTATGAAATAATGTCTGTGTGCATGTGTGTAAAACAACAAACTGACTATTTATATATAATCATTTGTAATTGTATATATATTGTTGTGATTAATTGTGGCTGGAACAATAATGTAGCTGTAAAAATAGTTGCCTGCTGAAATTGAAATGTATAAACATCTTCATCATGACTAGATAGACACGGTGAGTTTGTCTTTACTATACAGGTTAGATGTGATCCACCTCATAGTAACAATCCTGTCAGATCGTCCATCCTTTGAGTGAGAGTGTAACGTTACAGCTCGGCCGTGGTTTTCGTGGTTAAAGTTAACCTTTTCGACATGTTTCCGTGTTGTTGTTGCTCAGCAATGGCATGGACGTGATGTTGTCTGGGGGTTTGGCTAAAGGAGAGTGGGACGGTGGGCGGTGCTCGGGGGGGTGACTGAAGGCGGTGACTGTGTAGTTCTGACGCCAACTTTTTATGGAAGTCACAACGGTTCGTGAAAAATCACAACTACTTTATGCAGACTATGTGCATTTGACTGTGGACTGACTGTTTTGAAACTTACATGGTAGTTAAATAGCCCCTAGACCTCAGTTATCGTGAAAAATTATCGTGAAAGGAAATTTCAGTTTTGACAGTATGGGACCTTTAAATTGTGTGTGTGCTGCTGTTCCCGTTACTGAAGGACAGTCCTGCTGCTGCTGCTGTACTGAGATGAAGCTCATTTAATTAGTCTTCTGAACAGGTCCAATGCTGCTCGGAAGAAAGCTGTCAGACGAAAGGGCTAACTTGATGGTTTGAGGAAAAGTGGCTTTAAGTGCTAAACTGGAATTCTAGAATTTAGTCCTGTATAATATCTACTAATGCAATCCGAATACACACAAAAATCTTCTGTACAGACAGACTGAAGTACATGATGCTCTCCGTGTTTAAATGCACATTACTAATTGCTTTGGCACTTTTTAGGTTGGAAATGGCAGGTGAAATTATCACCGTTAGATGTCAAGAGACTCGCGCTGTGAAATTGAACGCATCTTTTCTCGCAGCCCTGGTGGGAGGTTTATTATTGATGAATGTTGCCATCAGAGCTGTGCGTCGCAGTTCATGTGGATAATGCACGTTTCTCCAACAGCTGTAAGGTGCAATTTTCTTTGAGCAAATATTGAGTGAGTGTCATTTTGTCAGACTTTCAGTAAGAAACCTTCTGCAAACTAGTCTAGTAACTAGTCTATTCTAGCCTGCACACAAAGACAGCGCAGAAATATCCCTCCGGATAAGACTTCTTTCTCTGTTATTTTACATGAACTGCATGCTGCACAATATCTATACATTCATGTTAGTTATAGATGGCTACATGCATTTATATGGATAGAGTTTAGAATAGAGTTAGGTGTAAGGCAGGTTTGATTCAAAACATGTTTAAAAAATATGACTATACATTACATACTGTATGTATGTAATATGACCGTACATTACCTTTCAAAGGTTTGGGGTCGGTAAGGTGTTGTTTGTTTGTTGTTGTAAGAAGTCTCTTCTGCTCATTGAGGCTGCATTTATTTGATCAGAAATACAGTAAAAACAATATTCTAAAATATTTTCTATTTTAATATATGTTTTACAATGTAATGTATTCCTGTGATGCGCAGCTGTATTTTCAGCATCATTACTCCAGTCTTCAGTGTCACATGATCTTCAGAAATCATTCTAATAGAATGCTCAAGAAACATTTCTGATTATTATCAATGCTGAAAACAGTTGTGCTGCACAATATTTTTGTGGAGACAGTGATTATTTTTTTTCTGGATTCTTTGATGAATAGAAAGTTCCAAAAAACAGTATTCAAAAATAAAGAAAAAAATGTAATCAATTTAATGAATCATTGTTAAATAAAAATATTAATTTTTAAAAATTAATAATAAAAAAAAACATACTGATCCAAACATTTTAAAGGTAATGTTTAAGAATGTGGTTATAGAGTTGAGAGCTAGAATGAACATTTTAACTGTTGTAGGTTACAATGAGAATTCAGACAGATGTTAATAAAAAGGAATAGTTCAGTCGAAAATGAAAATTGGGTCGTTATTTACTCATGGTTGTTTTTTTCAACAAAAGGAGAGAAAGTGCTAAGAAAAAAAGTACAAATAGTGTCAGCTCACATGATTCATGCACTATATTCCACATTAAATGATGTGTGAAGAACAGACCCAAATGTACTGCAAGCGCTTCTTTTGAACACTTACATTGAGTAATTAATGAAAAGCATTAATTTTGCATTGAACCAATCCTATGTAATCCTCGCCATCCATGAGCTTCTATCTGATGCACAAACATCTACGTCTTAAATGCTTTGGTTGTAGCATCTTACAAACGCGTTTATACCCAGACATTGAAATATCCATAAAGCTTTTCTCATCTAGTTTTGAGGAATTTTGCATGCAGCGTTTGGGTTTCTGCATGTGTGTGTGTTTTGTCGAAGCGCCGTCAGTCATTTATATGGAGTTGTGTGAATTTCTGAATGACTAACAGCTTTCCTGTTCAGTATTCCTGTCCTGCGAGCGGCTCTGTTTATTCGAGTAGGGCTCCGTGGACAATAACTTATGAATTTTTAAGGTCAGATCAGGTCTGCTCTGCTGCGGCTTTCAAATGTTTTTTGAGGCACCTGCATCTAAATCCTTCACATATTCAGCGAATGCATGCTGAAGCCCGCTTCAGAGATCCCCTAGACAAGCAAAGGTGATGCTCTTGGCAGAAGTACAGTAGAAATGACCTTTAACTTGCATGTTAAAGTATTGTATTTTGGTTTTGATTTTTAAGCATGATCTCTGGAAACAAACTATACATCTATGCAGGACACTCAAAGACTGTTTAAATGTTCATAGAGTGTTGTTGTTTTGTAATAAACCTTTTTGATAATAATTAATCATAATGGGGTGTTTCTTCAACACCAGGACTTGATTTTTACAGCTTGTGTAACTGACAGCTACTTTTTTGCTGTGCCACTACGTATACATTTCATTTAAACTAATATAAGAAAATCGGTCACCGTTGTAATCATCAAAACTAAGAATGCAATAATCGTAAGACAATAATTCAATGTCCATGATGGAATAAATTTGACACCCCTGTGTCGTTTCCACCACAACTCACAATTTATCTTTTAAAGTTATTGTGGTTTCTAAGGAGACCGAGCGTGATATAAAATAAGGCATGTGTTAAGAAAAGAGAAAAATCAAGCTGAAGGTCACCATGAACAGAATATTTTTTATTTTGCATCAGTTAATCAAATTATACAAGAAGTATGAAAATATTCATACTGTAAAACGTAAGCTTATAGGCTTGACAAAAGAAGAGTCAGATGTGTGAACAAATATGTTGGAAATTATTGTGATGTTTCATCTGAATATGTTGGATAATATTAAGTAGTGAGATTTTAGTTTCTGGAATGTCTCGGGGCCTGAAGGAAGAAACACTCCGTTTTCTGTTGATTGATGTTAAATTGTTGCATGTGTGCAAGTAATGTGTGCAACTACTAGATTTTTTAGAAATTAATATTTGCATTCAGCAAGTGCACGTTCAATGCATCAAATGTGGCTGCATGGAAGTAAATAAATGTGTAATGTTCTATTTCAAATTAATTGCTATTTTTAAGTTTCTATTCATATGAGAATCCAGAAGAAAATGAGTATCACAATTTCCACAAAAATATTAAGCAACACAACTTTTTTCAGCATTAAAAAAAATCATAAAATGATTTCTGAAGAATCACGTGACCCTGAGGACTGCTGAAAATTCAGCGTTGCCATCACAGGAAAGAAATTACCTAAAACAGTTCTTTTAAACGGGTTCTATTTCAAATTAATTGCTATTTTTAAGTTTCTATTTATATGAGAATCCAGAAGAAAATGAGTATCACAATTTCCACAAAAATATTAAGCAACACAACTTTTTTCAGCTTAAAAAAAATCATTAAATTAAAATGATTTCTGAAGGATCCTGAGGACTGCTAAAAAATTCAGCTTTGCCATCACAGGAAAGAAATTACCTAAAACAGTTCCTTTAAACGGTATTTATATTTTACAGTATTGCTGTTTTTACTGTATTTTTGATCAAATAAATGCAGTCTTGGTGAGCAGAAAACCATTTTTTAAAAATGTACAAAAAAAAAAAAAAGTCAATCCTAAACAGCATTGTGACTGTAAACCCTTGGGAAAACACATTCACTTGCATTAAACCGCACAAGCAATCTGTTGAGGTATTTATTTAGTCACAACAGAACTGATCAGAACTACAGGGCTGATATGAGCTTGTACTGGCCATCTGGTAAAGGTTGATATGGGTTTTAGTGTTATAAATGCAGAACATGATCAGGCTCTTTCTACATGAAGAGTAGCTGAAAATGAATTAATCACATTAGAGTGCAGAGAAAAAAAAAAGGCAAAAAGATGTCGTTACTGTACTTGCATGACACATCTTTTCAACCTCACACTTTTGAATGGTAGTCTGTCCATACAAAAAGTAGAAGGTGATGGTTTTCTTTTAGATGTGAAGCAGTGCTTTGACTGCAGCAGAATAAATAGCAGGCAGTCATTGAGTTTTAAAGGAAGAACTTATTGACTTTTAAAGGAATGCCAAAAGCATGTTTTTAAAATAGCCAGTGATTTAAAAAACCAATATCTGCCTGCAATGCCTTTCTGTAATGTCATAATACTTCCTATAGGTGCATCCAATGATGTAATGCTGCGTATGACCGTCTCTGTGCTGCACAAGTGGAACAAGAATTGAGAGAGCATCGTCTGCAAGCTGTCGGAATGTACTTATATTTTT